CCTCCTCCTTATGCTCGGGGTCAAGATCTTGGCTTTGATGGTGTCGATCGCGTCCCAAGACTCGATCTTTTGCGCAAGCTTGAGAAGGACGCGCACAGTGGCGGCACAGTTTTGGACTGGGAAGCGTGTCAGCGGCCGCAGTCCATACAATAACGAGGCAACGCACCTCGGTCCTCCCTTACTATACTCCTTATCCTGAATCTTCGCCCTCACGTCCTTAAACATGTCCCATCAACGCGATTTCGGGCGTTGGCTTGCAGAGGATATGTCCAGTAGTGGCCCAAAGTAGACCTAGGAAACGGGTCCGCACAGCCCAGTTGACATAGGTACGATGTGAAAAACCTAAAAGCCGCCTTGACATGCTCCTTATCCTGGATCTTCGCCTTGACATTGTCGATCGTGTCCGGGGACTAGACCTGCGGCGCAGGCTTGAGAAGAATGCGCACGGCGGCGGCGCGAAGTTGAGCTAGGGAGCGTGTCAGCGGGAGCATCGCATACAATGACGAGGCGACACACCTCGATCCTTCCTTACTATACTCCTTATGCTGAATCTTCGCCTTCACGTTGTTGACCATGTCCCGTCGACTGGACCTCCGGCGTGGGCTTGCGGAGGATAGGTACAGCAGCGGCTCAAAGAGGACCTAGGAAATATGTCAGGAAGGGCACAGTTTATATGGCGACGACACTACGCACCGAGATCGTTCCTTTCCATGCTCCGTGTCCTGAATCCTGGCCTTGGCATTGTCAGTCGTGTCGGACGACTCAACCTCGGGTGCGAGCGCACAATTGACGAGGATGGGCATGGCGCCGCACTTAGACGCTTCCTTCGCATGCTTCGTGTCCTGCATCTTCGCCTTGACGTTGTCGATCGCGTTTGATGATCCGACTTGCCGCGCGGGCTCGACAAGAATGTGAAAAGTGGCGGCGGCAAGAGAAGCTAGGGAACATGTCAGCCAGAGTGCGGTTTGTACGATGACGATGCGGGGCGCCTAGATGCTTTCTTACAATATCCCTTGTTCTGGATCTTGGCCTTCACATTCTCAATCACATAGGAAGACGTGATCTCGGGCGTGGGCTTCACAATGCGGAACACAACGCAAGTGCAAGAGAGACCTAGGAAACATGTTAGCAAGAACGTGGTATGCAAGATGGCGACGCAGTGCACCTAGATGTCTCCCAGCCTACCCTTCGCGACCTGGGCCTGCATCTCAGTCGCCTTCATGTCTTCAATCGTGTTTGAGGACCCGGCGTCCGGCGTGGGCTCGATGACGGTGTGCGCGGCGTCGGCGCAAGCCAACGCTAGGGAGCATGTCAGCGAGAGCGTCGTGTGCGTGATGACGATGGGGCGCACCTGGAAGCTTCCTTCCCATACTTCTCATATTTCGTGCCCTGAATCTTGGCCTTGACATTGTCGATCGTATCGGAAGACTCGACCTCGGGCGCGGGCTTGAGGAAGATGTGCAGACGCAAGCTACTGTCATCTGCGTCAACAACGCGCCGTCTTCGAAGGAGCTGGATAAAGTTCCGGACTAAACAATGTGAGAGATGGGAATTCAGTATGATCCCAGCTCTGTTCGACCGGAGGGGGCGGGGATTCAACGCACGTAGTTTGAAGCATGAGGCAGTGCCCAGCAGCTTTTGACTCATGTATAAAATGAGTCATTAGTAAAGTGAGGTTCATCCACGTACGATGGGAAGTGACCAGCGGTGTCTATGATGGGAGGGGCACCCCGCGCTGGAAATGAGAGCGGCGGAGAGATTACTGTTCGTGTTACGTGTTCATAAGGCATCACACTACGTGAGATATGACTTGCGTGAGAGCTATGGTTTGAGGCGATAACATAACGGATTAAACAGATTCGGTCGTGAACCCATCGTAGCGGAAAGCATAGACGCCCTCGAAGAGTCTGCAGTAGATACACGACCAAGAACCGCACGAATCGAAGTCATGAGATGATCACGCTCACGAGACTAGAGAAGAATAGTGTGTACATCTTGGGTAAGGTGGAGGACGTCGTCGCTGCAGGAGGACAGTAGGGAAACGTTGCAGAATGTCGGATGTATCAGTTGATCCGGGATTCTCAGGCGACGCCGCGCCGCTCCACGTTCCGATCATGATGGGGTTCTGTGCAAGAAGCTACGTCACGACCTTCCCTGTCGCGAAACTTCGACGCGGGCAAGGTAAATACATAAGAAGGTGTGATAGGGCACTTTGTAGAATACAGTATTTAGCGGGTTTCGCGATGCATTCACATGAGGGCATAACATAACAATAGTACGAGGGGCATATGAGATGCGAGAACATACGGATCATAGTGACAGGGTAGAGAATAGACCAAGAATCCAATGAGAAGACTAAAAGTACATGGTTCAAACGTCGTGCATGGTAACGCCCACTTCAGATGCCAGTTCCTCTAGATACTTGGAATCTTCGAATGTCGCGCCTTGAATGCTCGAACCGAGACGCGAGAAAATTGCGACGCGCATGTGCACACAACGCCCTGCAACAGCTAGCTTGCTACGCACACGGGCGAGCGATAGCAGGTCCTTCCAGAACTTCCCAGCAAGGCGCAGTGCAGTGACACGCACAGCGATGCAAGCAAGCTTAGACATCGTCACCTGGCCGGGGGTGTCGCGCTCGTCGGTGTTGTTCTTCAAGAGCGCTTTGAGGAACCCGATTTCCTCTTGGTTCTTGTGCCCAAGGTCGGCCATGAAGTAGTTCACGTTCAACATCCACCGCAGGTCGTTGCATAGCTGCTCAACATTGCGCTTGTCGTCAACAGCTGTGGGGTCGAACGGTATCTTCGAATGCCAAGAGTCTCCCGAATCCCAGTCGCTGTCGCTCGGCTTCTCGACAAGGCGGACGAGTCTTAGATAGACCTTCTTTATGCTATGACTTGACACAAGGGACATCGAGTGTACCGCACTGGTCCGGGACACGTCGCTAGCGTCGCTTGCCGCACACATTGCGGTAGAGCACAGCGCCACATGAAGGTGTCTACCGCGCACACGTTCGACGCCGAGATATCCATCAAGAGGAAGGTCCTGTTCGTCAACGACTGATAGCGTGATGCTGGGCTCCTGGAGGAAGGGGACCTCGCGCGCCGTAATGACCAGGGTGTCCCGGCCGGAGATGACGCTATGGCAGAAAGACTTCCAGACGTCGTCGTTTGCTTGAATCAACGAGGGGCGGTGGACAACAGATTGGAATGGCCAAGAAGTTCCCTCGGGATCAAGGTTCGTAAGACCGTATGTGAAGGTCGCTCTCGGTAACGTTGGAAAGTTTACGAGCCGGGATAGCCGGAGGGCATGCGCATCAAGAACGGAGTGGCAATTGAGCGTCTGAAGGGATGGGAAGTGGTCCTCATTGCGGTTCAGAGCACCTCCGGGTCCTGCTGCTTGCAGATCGTCGTTTGTCGTTGTGAATGAGACGTCGAGTCATTCCAGGACTGATAACTGTCCTGCGACAAAGAGCATGGCGTCAATGTCCGAAACTCGTAGACAGGCCTGTCTAACGGAGTTACGCTCGAAACGAAGGAGGCTCTGCGTGTCGACCTTGACGAGGTTGTCCATGATGATGGGTTTGAATCTTGCCACAGCGTCCCTTGATGCGCCATCATTGGACATCACGCTTAGTTCAAGCAACCCCCTATGCGACAGGGGTTGCAGGATGTCTTGGAAGCAAACGCCATCCAAGAAAGTAGTCAACGTTATGATGAGCACTTCTAGCCGTGGCGGAAGGTTGTCTGCGCAGTGACGAGCGTGGTCGGGGTGATGAAAGGTGACCGTCAGGCTGGTTAGACCAAGCAACCGATGTTCCAGCTTTCCCTCCCACGTAAGGCTCGCCAAGTTTGGAAACTTGGCGGAGTCGAGGACGGCGATCCTATCGTCCACACCCGGCTCGCCTGGCTCTATATAACCGTGGAAGTGTAGAAGGCGAAGGTTAACCCAGGGCTCGGCGGCCTCGTTGAGCTCCTTCCACCATTTCCAGAGGTGATCCATAACGTAGAACGATCGAGATTGGCGAACCAGCTCGAGCATAACATCGTGCGGGACTTGCAAGTCGGTGCTGGTGCACAAGCCGTAATGGGTAGTAAGGGAGAGGATATCCTCGTGCGGGTCACCACCCTTGAGGTCGCCATGCACGCGCGCCCAGAGTATCGGCGTTCCCTTGATGAGCCTGCACCAGTCACGACAGACGAGTTTTGCATCCAAGAGAGTATGAACACGGTCCGGGTTGTCGAGCCACGTATAGTCGAAAATTGTAGAGGCCACCTCATCCGGTAGACCCAGTACCCGATAGTTCGAGTGAGCGATCTTCACGGTAGGGACGTCCTGCGATTGCGTCCTTTGAATGGAGATGAGTTGCAAGTCGAAGACACGCATGCGACATGACTTACGATGTATCCATATAGGGATGCTTGGGAGGGTAGGACCCGATGGGTGCACAATGTAGCTGTAAGAGGTGCGTATGGCGAGGTCAGAACAATATTCAAGCGATCTTTGTAACACGACTGGACTAGACTCACTCAGAATTTGCAGGTGCGATGAGTGCCCGAGACAAGTCACCGCGGTGGCGGTGGTGGAGGTTCTAGCGGCGTGGTGGTTGGTTGAGATGCCTGCGCGCAAACCACTCTGCGGCGTCATAACTTGCCCGAAGGCCGTGATGGCGGATCAATCATCTATATGAACCACACCCGTTTCCATTCGCTAGGTTGTATGAGGCCGTACAATACTAGTAGTATCGCAACATGTGAGCGTACGTGAGGGCAGGACTGTCGAGCGCTCGTGCACACAGGGCGCCAACCGGGAGAGACGATGACGATGAATAACTTGTTTTTGGGGGGCATGAGCAATGCAGCTTTTGGCGTCAAAGCGCTCTAGTTGGCCCGTGCGTTTTCCATCGAAATCACCGTTCCTGGCTCACAGAGGGACGGTGTGGCCGCGCCACGAAGTCTCGCGGAAAAGAGAGCTTGACGCCCTCACCGGGCCGGTCGTGATGCGCCTGGCGGGGGGGGAGTGCACGAAGCTCTCTTTAGATTGGTGCGGGGGTCGAATATGATGGGACTTTTACGTCCTGCCCGGTGACGATGCATGGCGCGTATGGAATGCTGCCCTTATTCTGGATCTCGGCTTTGACGCGCTCGAGCATCTTGGGGTATTGATGTTGAGTACACCACTCTAGCATAGCGTGGTCTTCACGAGAGTCCATATAAGGCGCACAAGTGACTGAGCCATCTGGTACGCCGCCAGTGTATATCTGAGTCATAGTCAACGGCAACGCGCGAGGTTATTGAGTGACAAACATACACAACAGCAAGTCGGACCCTGCCGTAGTATTACTTTGGGCTTGATGTTCTGGTCCATCTGCTCAATTTCAATCAGTACGGTCAGCATCTCAAGGCCCATTAGAGACGTACGAGCGCAAGATAAGCGTCGGAACCGAGATGATAGATGAACGCTCGTGGAGCCGAGGCCTGTTGTTGGGAGTGATACAACTGGACGTGGAGCTTCACTGGATGCTGTTGTTGGTTCGGTAGCCCAAGAACGCTTTGTGGTATCATTGACCAGTCAACTAGTCGACTTCAATGACCGGAAGACGTCACGAATGCGAGCCCGACAGCCAGACGCTGATGAGTCGTTCAGCATGGACACATTCGGCGCCGGTTCAAGTCAATCGCACCACGCTGTGACAGCGATCGGGAAGTATCGTGCGAGCGGCATCACTATTAGGGAATACGCGAAGCGGAATCCATAGATTTTTGCAGTAGTCAGGGTTAGAGGGAAGGATATCCAGGCTTGAAGTTGTGGGTACTCCCGGCATTTTCCGCGAAGTTCCCGCGCACGGGTCTCGCTAGTTAACTCACCAAAGTTGTCGTGCATCGGCAATGTGCAAGCATGCAGTAGTAACTCAGCCGTAGTTGACGCGCGCAAAGAACGTCCAAACGATGGCTTGAAAACAGACGGGTGGGCAGGTATAGCAATAGCACGCACACGCCTTCGAAGTCAACATGATTATATCGATGAAGTGTACGGTACTAAGAAAGTAGGGGGATGTGTAGGCAGCGTGACTCTGAATTACGCGAGTGTTGAATGAAGAGAAGAGTACGTGGCGCGTCAAGTGCACAGTTCGCATGTATCAGCTACTACGCTTACGTTCTGAATCATGCGGCGTAGACGGTTGAGTGATGCAGATGTCCGAAGGTTATGTCTACAGTTGCAGATATTCCCTCTAAACTCCACCTCCAGGCCTGGGCGATAAGCGGCTATCTTCATCAACTGTCCCCACCAATTTCCAGCGCCTATTTGCGTGGATGGGTGACCGAACATGCCTCGCACCGTCAATCTACCGAGTAGAGGTAAAAGGACGCTGTCTTCATCGGTTGATAGCAAGTCGAGCATGGCGTAGTTGCAAGTCGGGGTCTCTCGAATCATCGTCATATCGAGCTCTCGCACGTTCCTCATACGCTCCATATTCTGGTAGAGAAGCTCGATATCTTCCATCTCGGGTAAGTTCAGAGCGTTCAGGAACGTCCAGTCGGTAAAGGTCGGGGTGTAGCGAGTGCGAGTCCAAGCCCCGTTGATGATCGTGCCACGCCAATGCTCGCGAGGGCCAGATAGCGAGATGGGCATGTGTATTACTGTCACTGCTTCTAGTGATACAGCTGTGAGGATATGTGACGCCGACACCAGGAGCCCATATCGCGCGGTGAACTCGCAAAAGTTGATATGCAGTGCTGTGTCGATGATGATGCCAGCTGACTGTATGTTCCACGTCGTGCTGACGCGAGAAGCTGTATCGGTGTCGAACAGGGCGAATCGTATGTGGTGGATGTCGGAGTTGACCTCCGCAAAAGAATGTATGTCCAGAGTCACGTCTTCGCTCCTCAGCCTTTCTTCCAACATCGTCCGAAGCTGATTAAGGTTGTCGATATCTTTCGCGAGCGTCGTTCCTCTAACGTTTGCCTCGTGGTCACACGTATCTAGTGCCTGAATGGTGGCGACCGAGGCGCGCAACGAGAGGGCGGCGAAAGGAGCGGTGATGGCGTCCATGACGGTGAAGAGCTTCTCGTTGACATCACCCTCGTACTTGAGGAACCGTAGGTTGGGGAACAACAACTTGTGTGCGCGTGCATCTTGGTAACGACGTCCTGTCGCCTGGCCCGATATCGCGAGCAGAAAGGCATTGGTAAGGCCACGCAGCATACGAAACAGATCACTCCAATGCGCGTTGAAAATGTCGGCATCTTGCACGCGAGGTGCGATGATGGCCACAGAGCATCGCAGAACTACCTTCTCAACGTAAGGCAAACACACATCTGGTGCGTGTTGTAAGGATGTATGGCCAACTGTCGGCAGGAGGTAAAGTTCGCGTAGTGGACCATTTGAGAGCGGCAGTAGGGCTTTTGACCAATCAAGGTTAGAGCACCGTACGCAGTCGTCGACGTGCAAGATGGTCAAGTTGGGGGATTGTTGGAGCAGGGTGCCAAAGTACAGCAATCGCTCTTGGGTCATGGCTTGAAACCCGAGGATGAGAACGCGAAGGGAGGAATCATCGAGAACCACGTCCATGTCCATCCTGAGCGTGCGCAGTCTAGGTGTACGAACCCGAAGGGCTTCATTGGCGATGGACGAACTGTGATCTGGACGCTGGAGCCAAAGAAACTCGAGTTCGGGGAAGTGGTATTGTCGGTTGAGGTAGTGGTTCCAGGGGATATAGTTGGCGTAAAGCTCGAGTGAACGTGCAGCGGAGAGATGTTGGATGATGGCGTCGTCCCTTGCGCACCCCAAGGTACTGAGATGAAGGGCGCGTGTCCTAGAGCAAAGAAGCAATCGATTCATTGCTGGTATGGATGGAGCAAATGAAGCGGCCAAAGACCACAATGATGAACAACCAACTATGGTCCGGGCCCAGTAGGAGCACACGGCTGCGCACGAGAAGAGCAGCGGTAGTGGTTGGAAAATGCGGGTGCAATCCTGATAAGTGCGGGAGTATATCGCAAAGTGGAATATTTCGCTCATTATCTCCGGGGGCAGACGATTGATAGCCGCTATAGAGTTTGGGGACGGGCGAGGGACCTCGACTGCTGATAACGGGGGGTTGCTGAATGTTTGGAGAGTAACTCCAGAGCGACGCAGCACGTCTCTGAAGCGCCTTGTAATGTTCCTTGCGAATGAAGGGCTTTCACGGATTCGAGCAGGGCGGGGACTTTCCGCTACGTTCACGGGCAAGATGGACGCGATGGATAGTGCGCTTAAAGCGCTGTCCAGGGATGTGCTACAGGATAGTGAGTGTCATTCCTCAGTATCAGTGCATGAGGCTCACCTGTAGGAAGTAGTTGAGGTGCACGCGTCGTTGAGCCGGCATGGGGGATTGATCGACACTTCCATAGCGTGAGTGCTTGGATGCGTCAGATCGAGGTTTGGGGATGACTAGAACCAGAAGACATACTCAGAGATAGGCTCTGTGTTACAAAAGCTGATAGAAGTAGACGGGGTCCAGCAGATGTCGTTCAAGAGGAAGTTGCGATTGTGCTGGCACCCTCCCAACTTGCCCGAAACGCCGCGCTTGGTCACACGTGCGGCTATTACGTCCGTCGCGAGATGACCTTCGCCGTTCTTCTTGACTATGTTTTCATGCGAGCGGTGTCTGCGTAGCGTCTTCGTCCGAACTCGATCCGGGGAGATAGGAATGAAGGATTCCAATGACTTTACTGGACGTGCTGAGAGCACGCAGGTCGAGACGAACAGGGGGCTTGTTGCGAAAGGGACAGTCGGACATGTGATAACGTCGCGCTAAACAAATTGCGAAGATCCGCTGCTGAACGCTGGTTGGTACTGGTGCGCCTGGCAGAATAATCTGAATAAAAGCATCAGCCGATATTAGGGCACATAGTGCAGTTTGACAGGTCCACACATCGTTTCGCGGTGGCGCATGGATCAGGTAATCAGCTAAAAGCATCACTTTTGGAATGAGTGAGGATTGTAGAGTGATCCTAAGACAGTGGCAAACCAATGATACCCGGGCTCAATAGCTCCGAAGGGCGGGCAGGCGAATTACGCCCATGCAGTCGTTGTCTCTATGTGAATGTGTCTCAGAAGAGGGATACCGAAGCCTGTACTGGTCCAGATAGCGAAAAGAGTGGTCATTTTTGCTCGTTGCTGGAGAACGCTCATGAGAGCGCAGGGCAAGCTCACCAGCCATGCAGCGCAACATGGGATGGGAAGACGTCATGCATCACGAATCGTGTTGACAACTATGTACAGCGTGGACCTTCCCAGTCATGATGTCATGGAGCGTGAGTTAACGCGTTCGCGAACTTGTAGAGCGTACTCATAGGTAGTGATGCGGCGGAGGAGTTTATCCTGGACTGATATAGAACATGAAGTAATAGCTGTAGGGTATGGGTGTGGGATGATAGCGGTTAAAGTGGGAGCTGAAGAAGCGACGATCGGTCAAGCACATTTTGTACAGCCGGTGGGCAAGGGCTTTACGATTATCGCAGGATGTTCCGAAAATGAGTGTAGTCCATGTCGGAACGAAGATTTGCAACGGCAGAAATTCCCTTCGCAAATCACTTGTAGCATGGTGGCTAAACCGCGACTCGCCAGTCGTTCGCGGACATCGAGGATGTCGAAGACCTGGCCGAACCACTTCCCTCGACGGAAAACGGAGTTCATATCGTTCGATGCCACCATACGAACTATGCGCAGGTTCGGGAGCGATGCATGGGTACCCTTGATATCCTCCTCGATATGGTTCGCCAGTAAAGCCTGCAATATAGCCGGGCCTGGGGTGCTGCGATGCACACTAATTTCAAGCTCCGCGACGTTCACCATCTTGTATAGGTCTTCCCTCAATGACAGGAAGTCGCGGCTATCCAACGCGCCGAGTGCATCAAGAGGTGTCCACGTCGCCAAGTCTGGCCCACGCACGGGTACATCTGGTGCAACTTCCTCATGACAATTGTATAAAGGGCGGGGCGGCGGCTGAAGAGCAAGGTGTATGACAATCTTCTGTAGGTCCTCAGTGGCGAAAGCCTTGAAAGCTTGAACGGCTGATACCGGGTGACCGCGTTCCAGAGTGCATCGGCACCACGAAGTTCTCACAAAAAGAGATAGGTGGACACCGCGACGGCGCTGTTGACTCAACTCGGGGCCTGAGTTATCATCAATGGCGGAGAAGGTCACAGTAGGATGGCCGCCAACTGGGGTAGTAGTGACGATTTCCAGTGTGCTCGCCCTGTGCATGACAACTTGTCGATGAACGCTGTCCACCGCGGTATCGATACTGCGCCGCTGAAAGTCAGGTACGACTTTGTGATGACAATCAGGACCCGATGGGCCTAACAGGCCGTGGTTCGTATGAACGGACTCCACGTCAATGCGTGCTCGTAGTGACGGTGCTTGTATTGCGCTCAAAAGCCCCAGGATGTGGCAATCAAAGTTGGATTGGCAGTTCAAGACTTGAAGGCATGGGAATTTGAGAGGCTTGGGCAAGTGCTGAGGCTGCTGAGGAGCCAGGAGCGATGATCGGACTGCTGTACCCGGACGTGACGCAATCGAGACGGTAACGACCTCGGCTTCCGTCAAAGGCAGCAGCATGTCTGTAATCTCTTCCAGGTCACTCGCGGAGACGTCGACGCGCCGCAGCCTCGATGCATCTTTCAGCAAGAGGCAGCTACGCGAGAGTAGATCCTCGAGATATGATAGGACCAGTGCTGGGTAACGGGTCACATGTGGCATTCGAGTCTGATCGTCGTTATCCAGGTGAAGCTTGCACAAGCGGCTGCCTGAGAAACAGGCAAGAAGGTCCTGCCAGGGTTCTTTGTTGGGGCTTATGGATGCATCAATCCTCAACGTGGAAAGCGTATCTCTGCAGTCGCGAAAGAACGAATGGTAGGCTGGGGCCGGCAGAGACAGACCAAAGCCATTTCTCAGATGTGCACTGTGTAGCCTGTGAGCGCGAAGCTCGATTGGACCGGCATAAGTGCAGTGACGCAGTCCAGCAGCCTTCACGGCCAGAGGTTGATTGGTAGGGCGTGAGCACGTGAAGGATCGTAACGCCGGTAGATCGTATGTCTTCAAAGCTTGACTCCACTGCTTAACGTTATCGCTCAGGTGGATCGAGCTGGCTCGTGGGATGTAATCCTTATAGTAACGCGGTCGATCCTTGGCCGTAAGACGTAGAGGAGCTGATCGCGATAGGAAGCTTGACAGGAGTAGCTGCGTCCGAGTCGCGGCCGATTGCATCGCACGCGCCCAGAGAGATCGGTTGGACGCAATGACTCCCGCCCAGGTCAAACACACCCGTCCCAGCTCCGCGAGTCGATACATTTTGTCGCTCTCGGAGTCCAGTGCATATTTCATCACCTCGAGAACGAGCTCTCCCGGTATACGATAAACAGGATTGTCCGGCGCCGTTTCGCTCATGCGGCCCTCGAATGAAGAGAAGGGCGGTCTCTCAAAAAGCGCACGTGGTATACGTAGGAGCTTCAGCTTCAGAAGATAATGGGGGGGAAATCTGGGTTGGACAACGATGTGGATGCGCGCCGGCTTGTGCACTTGATCGACGATATGCGGCAATTCAGCCCATACACTTGGATTGCTCTGCGTAGCTGAGTCAAGGGAAGTTTCCTCCACGAACCTGAAGTAGGTTAGCCGCCATAATCCATGTATCGAGAACTTTGGACGCACTTCCATAGGTCCCTTGGTGCGCGGTGCATTGTGAGTGTTGTCCCGCCAGTCGCCTGAGTCTCCCTGCGTTCACAAAGGGTGAGCGAGACACACGAGACCGCGTAGCGTTCATGCTTACATGACACAATTGGTTACAAGGTAAAGACCTCTGCGTGGTGCGAGGCCAATGGTTCAGGGAAGGTCGCCTTGGTTGGCAATTGGGGAAGGGGGGAGGCAAACGACGCGCAGATGGAGACTGCGGGACGACACAACTTGCCCGAGATCGCGCGCTGATGTAGGCACCCGTCTGCTTCCTAGCGCGCGGCAAGCGAGCGCAAATGAACCGCCTGGACCGCTTGGCGGACGGTCGCACATGAACATATCTACGGTTTGAATTTCAAATATAAATGCTGCAGGGAACCACAACGGAAGAATTTTGCGATTTGCAAACGTACGCTGTCATCATACTTCAGGGATGCCTTCTACCACGTTAGCCGTCTTGTCAAGGTTCTAGCTTCTCCGTTTGTAGTCCGATTTTGCTGGCTGGGCCTTCAGAATACGATCATGTCGCGTGAACCATATCGCTACGAAGAGTTTCACGCCGGGTGCCGGGGCGCATCGAGCCAGGTATAGCGAATGTGTTATGGTGATATGGTATGTACGTCGGGGGGCCTGGGGCTCGACTGCGCAAATGTGCACATCGCGGTCATAGTGACGCTTGGGCTCGACGCTCGACGGCTTAAGTGCAAGCGGATCAATCCGAGCACTTTTCCCACAGCGAGGGCCCGTTGCAGGCCATTTCTGCCTTTGTAACGTCTGGCATGCGTTCAGACTACTTTTCTGTCTCTCTCTGCTTCATGAGTATCCTCTGACCACAGTCATCAATTGGTGTAGCTATGGACTTGCGCAATTAAAGGATCATGTTGATAGTGTGCAGCGGCGGCAGCCATCAAGGGGGAGCTGGAAAGAGATGGGAATGAGATCTTGGACCTCGCGAATGTATGTGGTTTCATGTATAGGCCCACGACATGCGCAGAAGTTGCCAACAAGGACGAGACATAGTTGAGGGCACAGTCCTGCGTCGAACATGCGGCGGCGAACCATCGCCAACTGTTTCACCTCCTCCCAAACCTTACTTCCCTCCTGGTCGATACGTACAGACCGACCCATCATGCTGGCCGTTAAATATATGTGTTGCAGCCTGCATAAAGTCGGTCTGGAACTTCGGCGTGCCAGCTCGTCCTCGTTATTCGCGACAATGGCTCTTAGCATACTGTTGCCCACCCATCGGTGCGACCGTATGACATCAACGTCCAACTTCAGGACGTTAGGTAGGTACAATAGCTCCTTGCGCAGTATCATGGACTCTCTTGGGCTGTGTGCGTCCCCACACGCGTCCGAAGGTGTCCAGAATCCAAATCTGTATCCCGTCTCGACGCCATCGGGTGCCTGAGTGTCGAACAACCGACCGACCTTGTCGGTATTGGCACCAGCGGACTTGGGGCCGCATTCGATGTCGACAGCAACGCGTATCTCCGCTATTGCTTCGATAGTAACGGCAGGTAGCGCATGCACGGCAGACACCGCGTAGCCTTCGTTCCGAGTGCACCTACACCAACCAGAGTCAATGTACACATTGATGTGGAGTCCAGGTTGGTGGTTGTCATCAGGATCCGTCCCAGAGCGACTCCTGGGTTCATCGATGAGAGTGAACTTGATGTGTTGACCGCGGTTGCCGATACGGGCGCGAGTTCTGACCTCCAGCTTCACTGGTCCACTCAGAAGGCGGGCGAGGTGGGGACGTAGATCGTGAAGGGCGTCCCCTTGCTGCATCAGATCATATCCATCATTCACCACTGAATGTAAGCACCCAATACTGGCCGTGCTGACTGTCGTCTCCGCCGAGTCGCTCTCGGAGAGTTCTGCAGACTGGTCGCTGTCCGCCTCTGAGCCCGCTTCGTACATCGTCCAATGCAAAGGTCCAGAGGTTTTGCGAGTCTTGATCTCGAGTGTAATGTTGAGACTCAACAAGGACGGGAAATCTATGGCATTAAGCAGGAGAACCGTGCTCATGTCGAGACTTGTTTCAACGTCAAGGAAGCGAAGCTTGGGGAATACAGTCCGTGTGGCCGCGGACTGCCTGGGTAGTACGGGTGCAGGGCGCGCCTTCTCAAATGTAACGCGCAGTGAGATGGTATTTGCCAGGCCCTCCAACATTCCGCCTAGTATCTCCATGTTGCGTACAACTACGTCCATCTGCTCAAGAGGTGGTGGGGGCTGGAAGAGCAGTTGTGTAGTGGTTGAACATCGTTGAAGAAGGGGTAGATCGAGCGCCGGCTGCGGTGTATAGTCGACCTTGCCGCCGTCTGGACTGTGACAAGTCAATCGTAATACGCGTAGAGGTCCACCGTTCAGCTCTCGCAAAGCGTGGACACACGCATGCCCGTCATTCCCCGCGTCATCGATTTGAAGCTCCAATAGCGTTCGTTGCCACCGTTTGAAAAAGAGAGCGTAGTCGAGATGCCGCAAGCCAGCCGAAGATCGGGATAGCAAACGAACGTAGTGAAGATTTGCGCGAATGATGTCAACATCGCAGTTGATAGCGAGATGCTCTAGTTTGGGTGCGTCGATTCGTACGTAGGTATCGAGCTCGATATAGTTCTGGCTAGCTTGCGCCTTCAAAATGAGCATTCGGAGTTCTGGTAGCGTCCGGTTGTCGAAAATGTGAGACCGTCCGTCTACGACGCATCGAACGGACAACGTGCGAGCCTGAGCAAGATACGGCCTCAGCACTGCATGAGGTAATCGTGGTCCGTGGGATGTAAGATCCATCAGACAGCGTCCTGCGAGCAGTCCAGCAATAAACAGCTGTTTTCTCGTTCTTGCCGACGCCATTGCCCTCCCCCAGAGAGCCGGACTTCCCGCCACAACGCGCATCCAGGACATGCAGACACGACCCATGTCTTGGACCGCGACTATCTCGTCGCCATTGCCGGAGTCGTCCTCCAATACGCGTTGGATACAGGCGTACGTGATGATGTGCAGGAGAATTTCAGGAGGCGCTTTGCCCACCGGAGTAAGAGCGTAGTGTGAGCTGGAACGTCGTGCTTTGAACGCCGAAAGAGGTAGGTGCTCGTGAAAGTCCATCGGTAGACCATGTTCCTTCAACTGAAGCATCAAAGGGCGCGAAACTGCCTCTGGATTGCTATCGGTCTTTCGATAGACAAGTGTAGCGGGGTTTCTTGGGATCATGATAACACAGCCAGCGAGATACGTTCTCGGACCGGGGTCACTATTGTGCAACCAGTCTGGTCAGCGACCGGAGGAAGGCTCGAGGCATGTTACAGGACTCACGTTGCTGCAGAGCGCAACACAAGTCAGTATGGTATACAGCGTACAGCGTCGTGCCGACGGTGACGCGGACGATGAGCAAAGCGCGGGACGCGATGGCTAAAGGAAGTCGTGCCACGACATAACTTGCCCGAACCCATTGATGGATTGGGCGGACTCTCACGGCAACGGTTTAAGCGAAATGACAGGCGCGTGTCCGGATGCCCGACTTGAGCTGGACCAATACCTGCGTGCTGCCGATATTCAGCTTCGTTTAGTGGGATTGGGCGGATTGTGCAAGTGGCTAGCAAATGACTCTGCAGTTCAGGCCCATTAACTAATGGTACAAGACTACAAACAGGAGTGGCAACTTGAATCGGCAATCGTGCTAGCTTGTAGATCTAGGATTGCGACATGGCGACGAATCTTCTTCAACCGGCTTAACGAACCAAGATAGTTATAGCACCCACAGATGTTGCCCGCCAGCGAAACCCGTATATCCAATGAGCCGAGATCCATCCCAGCGTGCTTGGCGGAGACAAAACGGTACAGATCGAAAAACCAAACACCCTTCGCTAAGCGCGGAGGTCTTCGGCCTACGGTGTACAGACGTACATCACGTAGATTTGGAAGCGTGAGGCGTGCGAGTTCTCCAGGTTCATGCAAGGCGTGGAAGAACCCAAATCCCGTTCTTTCGTGTCCCCGGACGATAGCGAACTCCAACAACGTAAGAGAGGTCATACGTCGGACGCTGGATGCGACAAGGTCTGCGTCCAAGGCGGTGGGGAGAGGAAGGGGATCCAGTATTCGTGCAGTCTGCGCTGCGTCGGAGTCCATGATGTCATTCTCGAAGGAGATCGACTGATGTAGACGGGCCACCCGAGACGTGGCGAAAGCAGACAGAACATGGGCAAGGGTGGCGCTTTTGACGTCCCGGCATTCTGCGGTTTGAACCAGACAGGAATCTTCCTCCAGCATGACTGCTTCCAAACAGAATCCCGAACGCGCTCTGCTCGAGGATTGTGTGCGCCCATCGCTTAGACAGAACGATACAATCGCAACGCGCTTCGGACAGGGAATGACTGTCTCTATGCGCAATTCAGCAGGCGAGGCGACCTGAAGGCTGAATAGGCTCCTAGCGGTGATCAAGTGTTCCAGTTCTTCGTATAGTTCCACCTTATTCAATACGGCTTCGTCTGCACCTGCGTGGGCGTAGAAAGGTAGATCGACTTCAGCCCGGAACTCAACGAGCTCCGGAGCTCTCAACTTGGCGAACAAGCATAAGTTATAGTCATTAAGACTCTCCTGAAACCGGATGGAGCGCAAGCAGGGCAAAGAGATGTAGCCGCTCCCTTCATCAGCGAATGCGTCAACATCGCGCTTAAGGACATTGAGCTCGACGACAGCGGGCGCCCCGGATAAGATTGTCATCACGTCTGACACTGATATATCCGCCAAGTGTAGAGACCGAGCTCTGGGTAGAAGAACGCGCATCGGAATGGATAGTTGTACAACTTCAGCGAGCGGTAGGGTGACGGCGGAGCTCGTCGGCAATAAGTCTGCCATTGGTCCACGACGTGCTAGGATTCGTAGTTCCAGTATTGATGCACCATCGAGAGCCCCGTGAAGTTCGGAATACCAATCTGGGTATTGAAAGATGTCGAAATCATCCAAGTGCAGAACTTCCAGCTTTCTATATGGTCGAAGAAGACTTGTGAGCCATGACACCTGTAACCATTGGGTATCGCAGCCTGCGGAGGTGATCACCAACGATCGGAGGTTTGGAGCATGAACTTGGACGCCAATTTGCGTAGCGAGATGCGTGAGCGAGGGGGCATGGAGGACTAAACGTCGCCGCCACGGATGATTGGTATATTGCATGATGTGTGCATGCTCGGCTGCGTGAAGGGGACCGTGAAGAGCGAATTGCGCATTCCAGTCAACCGTTGGATCGTCGTCTATGATCTCCATGGAGCGGATGTGTTTGAAGTACGACGCGAAGATCCGCTTATCCAGCTGCGAGCTAAGATCAAAGGCTACATTGCCACAGAGAGCTTGCACGCGACGAAAGGTTTCCATGTCACTAGCACAGGCTGCTGCGCGAGCCCAGATCGCAGGGGAGTTCACGATGATGATGGCCCAAGAGCTGCACACGCTGCTCAGCGTAATCATTTGAGGGATGGCGTCAGGCGGTGTGATATGGCCCGCTGTTTCTCGCAAGATGCCGGGCTCCCATGGAACGGGTCTTCCATAGATACTGTCGCGCCTGAAAGTGAATATCGCCAGCTCAAGAACGTAGCGTGTCACCTCCGCAGGTAAGTCCTGACAGGTCGTCAAGAGGGATGAACTGGGTCGCGTTCGGAACCGCGCTCCATAGAATAGTCGCAAGGGCATGATGTCTAGTGGTTCTTTATCTTGCGAGATACCTTCATGAACACAGATGTGAGCGGTGGTAGCGATGTTTGACGTTGAAATTGACATACTGATAAGCGGTTCTGCGAGCGCAGGTGACATGTCAACGTCAACGCTGTCCACCGGTGGCGCGCAGTGCACGACGAACTTCTTGCGACTGCCCATTCCGCAACTGCGCGCTACCTCCCATCCCCCATGCACTGGTCCGGTCTGCCCCTTTGCGCGTGATGTACAGATGTAGAAGCCGCCAAGGGGTAACTCAGGACACCAGACGTTGTCGTCAGGAGCAACGACTTCCATGTAGCTAGCGTACTACTTGTCATCGCGCATCCTATCAGACAAATGGGGGAGCGCTCACCTAACGCATTCTATCGAGCTCGGTTTCATCATCCTAAGCCTGTTCCACTTGGCGCGAACAAAAACCTATAGGTATCGAGGTTGGCAAAACGAGTCGAGGTCACTCCGCCTGGCTAGAACTGACCTTATCTCAATGCTCAGTGATAGTCTGACTTTTCCAGCGTGGTGACGTTTCAGGTTGGATAGAAGAGCGGCCGGCCGGTCGGGTAGCGGGGACAATGATCTGGACCGCAGCATCATAACTTGCCCGAGGCCTTCGTGTAAGATGAACGGCGAACGGGCCGACGTCACGTTGCCTATTGCAGCAAACCTTCAGCTCGTTTTGCATATGTGTATGCGTCTGGGTACTGACCTATGTCGGCGAAGGCTCCCTTCTCAACAGCCATGCCACCGACAACCATTATTAGGTGTGACAGCTATCGCCCGCCTCCGCTAGTGATCGAATCACCGCGCGTTTTGTGCGATCATATACATCGGGTGGTATATGTGATAGGCAGTCAGGCCGGGCAGGAAGACAAGACCGATTGAACGAAGGCATGAACGCGCACGATGAAGGGCGAAGGTAAGCGGAGCGTGGATTCTGTCCACACGTGTGGGTGCCTTCATCATCCCACGCCGGGTTTGGCAGTTGTAGCGCAATATAATCTGGCTAGATTGTGTGCCTTAGATTTTCTGATATCGTGACGAATGGTGAGAATATCAAAGGGATAGCTGGGCTACTTATATAGTAAGGTATGTAGCAGCGTATGAAACTCATTATGCATCGTGATGGCGTCCTCGCCCTTCGATCTACTCCTCCCTCGGAACAGCCAATACATGAATAGCGGAGAGGTTGAAAGACAACGTCTTCTCTTCCGACTGGGAGTCTGATCCGTAGAACGAGACAGTGCTTATGACAGCCACGAAAGCACCAGCGGGTACATCGCCCATCCAACGCTCGTCATCGGTGCGGCCAGTCTGAGTCAGAATATCGACAGGCCGAAATTCTTCGTTGGATTGTTCACCTAAGAAGTGATTCGTGCAGTCCCACACTGGCACTAACGTTATTGCGGGTGAGCATGCTAAGCGCTACTATATGATCCGAAACATACCAGGCTCGTTTGCGTCCCTGGCGCGACGTTGGATATCAGGGTGGCACATCTGAGACTTCTTTCTGGTCGTAGCCTGAAAGTGGCCAGGCAGCGCGTTTCCTAGAGTTTGCGTGATGAGGAATGATGATAGAGGTGAATGGAAGAGATATTCACCAGTTCCGGCGTCGTTGTCAGAAACCACGCTGTGTTTCGTTGCGAACATGACGCCTCCTCCTTCAGTGACGGGCAAGATGTATTGGCGACCACCCAGCACGGCGGATAAAAATGCCATAGCCCGTTCCGATTCCATGGTCACCATGTTGATCTCATACTCCTTGACGCACTTGGTCACGCCGTTGCCCTTTGTGTACGTCCTGCCGTCCATGACATTGCTGGTGTGAGTATAGCCATAGAAGACGAAGGCGGTTGGCTGGTTATCGCCTTTGCTTGACTGCGGGATGATGGCGCCCCCCTTGTTGATGCGAGGTGAGACCTTATGACGCTTTGGATCATCCCGCGCGGGATTCGATAGACCCGATCCAGCATGAGCCTTGAACGTTAACATGCTTATTAAGCGACTAACAACCAATGTGGTCAGTATCAATGAAGACGATCAGCCAACAATCTGTTCACTCACTCCTGATTGATCGAGCTGAACATCTCGCTCGCAAACATCGCCGTAGTGGTCATGTTCACCAGCATGTTCTTGTGAACGAAGCGATCTGGTCTATGTGTCATATGGTTATATCATGACGGAATCTGCGAAGAGTACCGAGAGCGCTTACGACAGCTTGGGGATGTGCGCATAAGAGCCTCGAAGGGGGCCGTCCATCTTCTCAGTTGTTGTGACCTGGCACCCGCGCATTGATCTGCCAAAGTACTCCGCACTGGTGAACATGACAAGGAGGGCAGTACGCACGCGTGTAGCTCAAGATCATCGGGGTTCGCCCCCTCCACAGGTCCATCCTGTGCATCGCTACCGGCCTCAACTGTGTCCTAGCACCACTTAAACACGCGATCCGGTCCAAAAAGTCTATCATACGCACTTGTGGCTGATCGTTCTCTTCGGTGACCATGTCTTCTCTATCTTCCGCGCAGATCTTCATTGCAGCTTTGATCATGGCTGGGTCTAACCCAGCAGCTTTGAGCGCTTTCATCGCTTCGTCTAAGGCGCTGGATCCATCATTAGTCCAACCGTACAACGGACATTATATCGAGGATATAATGCACTCACCGAGTTTGGCTCTTCGAACCGCTTGCCCCCCTTCTGGATCGATCGGGTATCGTAGACTTTGCCACCGCAGCACCCTGTTTAGTCTTTTGACCAGCTTCTTTCGTCGCAGGACGACGCTTCAGCGTTATTTTCTTGTTTCCGTCATAGCCAGTTGCTACGATGAACCTGGTAACACTGTGAGCATTCGTAGGTACAACAAGGGATCATCGAGACATACTTCTTCGGTGGTGGCGCGCTCTCTTCGTCGTCCGACCCACGATCCGCAGCCGACCTTGTAAACAGCGTTCAGAATCTTCTCCACTCAAATCAAGCTAGAACAATACACTCACCTTTTACCCTTGCCCTTCGAACCTGGGTTGTGTGGCGGTGGCGCTATGTTTTTCATAGAACTAGCGTGGGATATCGGAGATAGACGGATGTGGCGTGTGTGGCTTCGGACGGATTCGGACTAAGTCTCGTGACTCGTTATGGACTCGTGATTTGGCCTTTGTATATGCTTGTTTATGCCTTATGCGCTTCTCTTTGGACTTGTTCTTTTCTCGCATAGCCTCGGTTCATAGT